AGTTACCAAATTTGTCCCTAAATGTTTTTTATAAGAGTGCTATGCGATAAAAGGAAAATACTTGAGAGAAAGTCAGCGCTGATACTGATGTCTGGACACGTTGTAACAAGGTGCTCCACTGATGTCAGCTCAGCCCTCTTTGATGCTCCTTTGCTCATCTTCTTCACCTTCTCCTCAAAAACTGAGCACAATCCCGACTGTCTGTGTTGACACTCCTACGCGTTAGAGGTTACACCAACTAAATAATCAGAATTGCTTCAGTGCATTAGTGCTGGAAAGTAAGGTTATATATTTAGGAGTCTGGCCTGAGTCGGAGGGGATACCGCATTCCTTTAAGATTAAACTAACAAGCCAAAAAACCTGCCCTTTTCTCCGGCACGGGGAAGAACAGGTAAGGCCTTGTGTAGATGCTGTGGCCACGCTCTCACTCACATCGTTACACGCTGAACCCAAACATCCAGGAGGCTCAACACTCCATATTTCCCCGTTATAGAAACACGGGAGTGTGGAAGCAAGGCCGCCTCGGCCTATTTGAAAGGGGGGCAACGGGGGAAACGCTGCTATTCAAGCCTTTCCTGTGGTTTGCCATATCAGCTCCGCTTTAAGTCATCTTCTGACTTAAACAACTAAAATAAAACATAAATGCCAAGAAGAAAAAAAATGGAGGATGTGAAAAGAAAGAGCAGACTGCTTTATAATACTGGTGTTATGTTTCATTAGGGTGAAGCCGTTCCAAGATAGACCAAATTTTCAAAGTGTTAGGTAGTTACTTCCTCTCTGAGGGCTTATATCGGATAACGGTAATTCACCCAGCTTGATGCTATTGAAATGGATGAGTGGCTGCAGGATCTTGTTAAGTGTGAAAATAGCACAGCGACGCTTTAAAAGCTTCACTGGTTAACGCAATGGCATTAAGCTACCCGGTAATTATGGTGCATTTAAAAATCATAGCTATGTGCAGAATGAGTTTGCAACGCTATCCAAAAATACGCACCAATTTGGCTCTCATCTCGCCAAAACACCAACGGGATATTGAACATTTGCACTGATTTATAGCAAGCGAGGCGTTAGCACTTTTTTTAAGCAAGCGTTCAAATGTTTATTGGCCCTTTAAGGAGATTGTTTTTGAGTCTAATGTCAATGCTTTGAATAGGCAGAACCCTACGATAAGCACTCAGCTGGCAGGTTACCTTATCATAATAGTGTAATTAGCCCCAGAGCGACTGAATATTAGGACAGAACAAGAGATAATATACAGTGCACTGTGAGTATTTACACTGAGTTCTACATTTGTTGTTGCAGTCTGCATATTACAGAGATGAGAGTAATCTCCCTCATTTCACTGCTTTATTTTGAAAGTAGTGAAGCAGACATTGTACCACATCGAGACCACAAAGCACAGCGATTCACAGCAAAGACACCGCATTTATAATTTCAGAAAGCAGCAGAGGCTTTCTCAACGTTCGTTCCCCTTTAGTAAAGTATATCAACCCTTTATTATTTTTTAAAATGACAGAAAACTCTCCACAACTTTCACATCACACTCGATTTTCAGACCGTAAAAATCACAGCTTACGTTATTCCCACGACGCTTTCATTTAGACTTTAATAACAGCCTAAAGTCTATTTTTGGGCACAATCAGCCTCACATTCACAGTACATTTGAGAGAATTACACACCAATTAATCTATCTTTGATTAAACCCCGATCACATTAACACTCCCTGATTACCCCGAGGAATCATGTAGGCTAATGTAAACCATCAGCACTAATAAGTTCTAATAGCTGGCGCAGCTCGCAAACACAAACAGCGCTATTTTACTCCATCAATATGACCCTGCTGGGATTAAATAGCATGTTTGCCTCAGAGGTACAATTAAGCGATGCTAAATAGAGTTCCTTTGAGCCTGGAGTTAAGGGAAGAGTCTCCGCTGCACAGTAGCAGCCAGTGAAGCCCTCACATCGTCCTCCCCCCACTCCCCCGACCCATCCCCCGGCATTTTCAAATTACCTATTGATGAGTGGGCTTCACGTCTCTCCACGGGTGGATGAGGGGGTGGGAGGGGTGAGGCGAACGGGTGGGAGGTGGTGGTGGTGGTGCGGTGGGATGTCTGGTTCACTTTTAAGACGTCTCCAAGAAGCAGGCCTGTGGTTAGATCTAAGGCAACACTTATGCAACAGAAGCTCCCTTTCTCAAATACATATATACGGTTTCCCTGCAAATTATCCGAGATTTTCTTCGGGGGGAAAGTTTTCCGCCTGGAGTTTTCAGATATTTACCCACATCGTCCCCGCTTTCTTTCTTTTGATGTTGTTGATTCGGGTCCGTCTGTGTGTAAGCACTCCTTTTCCCCCCCCCTCTCGACTGCGACTGCACGGCTTTGCCGAACGATAATTGCTCCCATGACTTAATTGTCTATATGTAATTAAGTTTGTAATAGAGAAAAGAGGCACTTAAATGTTCCCCGGAGAGGCACGGTGGCTGAGTGGGTGCCACACATGTTGAAGATTATTCTGCCCTCTCCATCTGATCTGCCAGTATGAGGAGTTATAAAAAAAATGTATTCAAAGCAATTAAATTAAAATTGCCTCATGTAAATGCCAAGACAAATTTTAATGAGCCCCCTCTACTTTAATTTGGAATATTTGCCCGTTCCCTCAAGTCAGCTCAATTTATCGCTGCACGGGAATGTAGGCTCGACTCTAAATTAAAAATGTCCTTAATGAACACAAATATACAGACGGATGGAGTAATGTGGCTTTCTAACTACAAAAACAGTATTTTGTGCTCTCGGCAAACCGGCTGACGCTGGGCAAAATGATCCAGGAGAAACACGGGAGCGGGGGGACTTGAAGAAAATATGTAAAATCAACAAAAGTCAACGCTCCAGCTCTCTTTATATCCACTTCATGCATTTTAAGTTCACAGGAACTGATAAGGATGCTTACAGATGTAAATATTTATGCCACAAAATCCACGTTTTACGTTCTTATGCAAGTCAAATGAGTTCAACGTTACTTTTTCCCCTTCCTTTTTTTGTTTGGCTAAAGCAAAAAAATATCCAGGGTGCCATTCCTAATTTTTTGCCAGTTCAGATGCAGCACAGTACACTACATTTATTTATTCAGAATTATAAATACAACAGAAAGAACTGGTGGTCTTGCAAAATCACACCGTGCCGTCAGGGGGGCTTTTTGTGGTTGCACTGACAGATTTACTACCCAGATGTTCATAAACAGGGGCAAAGTCAATGAGGCGTGGCACGGCATCAATCAGCAAACCTTGATGTCTGAGAACTGATCAGGGATTATCATCCTTATGGGGTGTCTTCTCTACCTGAGCATCTGCACACATCTGCTCTTCTCTCTTCACCGTCTGCCTCTCCCACGGCGTGCTTTCAATTTCCTGCACTGCTGCTCCTCTCCTCTCCTTCTCCTGCGCTCCGACCCCCTCCACCGCCCTCCCCCCCCGAGACACGGCGAAAGGTCAGGAGGTTAACATGGTAATAGGTGGTGGTGATTGGTAGAAGACGCTCACTCTCTCCCAGCTTTCAGAGTGTATTAGGAGCCACCCTGCTTCTGTGCGGAGCAGGAGCCCAGAAGAACAGCTGTGTCTGACCACCGAGCGACTTCTTAAAAACATCTTTTAAACATTTGATTTGGACAAGACGAGCGGGAGGCTATGGACCGGAGCGGGAGGCAGGAGGGCGGCGGGTTGGGGGGGGGGGGAGAGGAGGAGGTCGTCTATTAAGCTGAGCCTGTCTATTTCTTGTGTCGCAAGGGAAGGAAAATGTTTGTTTAAATTTGAAAATTCATCTTGTAAACCATTTATTTTGCTGATTGAATTAGACTGTGTAAAGAAGCTGTCACAGTACAATAGAGCAAACCCAAAACACAGGCTGCAGCCTGGAGAACGCAAGCTGGCCTTCACAGGTAGTTGAAAATCATTAGGTTGTCACTGCTACCGTTCACAGGTTTTTGGATTTGTTTTGCTTCTACTTCCATATAGATCCACTTCAGGAAGGAGGCACAATCTTGTATTTATTTGGAAGATATGATATTAAGAATATATATTATTAGATATTAGATCATCACATTAAGAATAACGTAATTATTTCTTTGGTTGTAAAAGTGCAAATTAAGAGCTTCTTACACACACGAAAGACATTTCATCTTTTTATCCGTTTGTGTAGAAGTGAATAAAGTCAAACACAATCACTGTGATACGTTTACATTAATCATTACAGACTTAAGCACCGAATTCATAGAAAGGAAGTCAGCATGGATCAACTTCGTGTTCAATCTGGATTTATGTCTGTCGAGTAAATGCTCCCTGGAGCCTGCAGAAATCGACACCGATTAATTAACGACAGCAGCGCAACTAAACAATTTCAGGAAGCGATTACAGATCTTTCTTGGCAAACTAATCAATACTTCTTCTCTATGCGCAAGCACAGGCGCCCAACACACACAGCCCAGTAATCCCCCCACATCTTGTTCCAATGCTCCACTGTAAACTCCCTTGTGCAGCGTCTGTTTACGTCTGTCAAAAATATCACCCGTGCCTTTGTTTTTGGTTCCGCAATGGCATCGCTTTGTAAATCTAAGGGTATGTTGCACAAACATATCATCTCCCTCTTTGGAAAATATTTATAAACATCACATAGAATAAATACTGGAATCTCTATGGGCAGATTTTCTTTTCTTGTTGTTTTTTTTTGGGTGCACAAAGAAAAAAGAGAAAAAGCCTTGATGATAGTTGGGTGTTTCGTCCGCCACAAAAGCTTGGACCTTGACAGCGGGGTCCTCCATGACCTCAGCTGATCCCCTCCACTCGTCTGGACCCAAAACATCAGACCAGTTCCAACATCTTCGCCCGCTTTCCTCGAACCCCATTAATTCCACCACCCAAGCCTCACCACCTGACCCCAAGTCCTTCCTGTGACCCGAGCCCCCCAACCCAATCCAGACACAACAGGGAGCAGGAAAGTGGTACTCACCCCAGAAGAAGTTTTGCTGACATGGTGTCACTGTGCTGAAAAGGCTGTTAGATGCCATAGCTGCCTCTGGTTGCAGCAAGCCCCACTTTTGTTCTTCTGTGGTTTCCTTGACCCTTGACACGTCCTAAACCAAGAGCACGCAGCATGTCATGAAGAAAAAAAAATGGAAAAGCCATCCACAAGACATGCTTTTACGTATCAACTATTTGGATGACCACAAGTAACAACCAGGTCTGGTTTTATAGAGGAAAAAAAAATTGCAGAGACAAATATCGCCTTTGCGGATAGATCAGATGGTGTCGGACTTGCTTGCTTGGCGAGTGTGGTTGGAACGTACTTACTCGCTTAGCGCCGTCCTTGTGACTGGTGCTGGCCCGCGACGATTAACCATTTACACTCCAGGTTGCCCTCAAACACCAACCCCGAGCCGCACGTCTGTGGTTCTGTGGTTGTTTGGGAGGCGAGCAGAGCCCTCACACAACCCAAAAGGCACCAGCTTTAAAACTCGTCTCTTTCCTGCCCTCCATGTGCCGTCACTGGAGAGCCTGGGTCACATGCCCTCTGACGTCATCACGGCACAGCAGTTGAGTTGGGACAGCCTACCGTTGTGGCTTTCTTCCCTCTCCTCTCCTTGGACTTTTTTTTCCTCTACTCTCTGGCTCCCCTCCTCTCTTGCGCGTGGTTCGGCAGCATTTCCAGGTTCTCTGGGGATCGGGGTCTGACGCTCCCATGAGTCAGGAGGCTTCAGTGGGGGCAGCTTGTTCAACCGCCCATGCCTCCTCAGCATATGGGGAGCAGTGCTCTCTCTTGGGTTGGTCTCCCTTCACTCTTTCATCCCCCTCCCTCCTCACTCTCTCTCCTCAAACTCTCTCTCTCCCTGACACTGCTGCTCCTTCCCTCAACTCCTTTAGCAGGCTGCCGTGCTGCTCCTGTCTGCCTCTGAGCAGGGAGAGCTCAGCTTGGTAAGATTTGAGGGTGTGAGTGAGGAGTGAATGGCTGGCTGGCTGGTGGTGGTGTGAGACTGGGTGTGTACGCGCGTGTGTTTGTCTGCAACAGAAAGAATTGGGGAAGAGAGGAAAAAGCTGGACGAGCGCATGTGTGTGAAGGGAAAGCGGAGGTGGTGTGACGCTCTGCTTATTTACCGAGGAGCGTTTCTGAAGAGTCGTCTCGGTGCAGCCTGAATTTGTTCTTTCTCACTCCTTGCACGTTGCTGTGTCACAAACAGTAGTTATGTCACCGCGTTATTACCGTAATAGCCGTGTTTGTGCATGTGCATGTATGCATCCAAGCTTATACTGAGCTTTCATTGGCTCTCACTGAAGCAGCAGTCAGGGGGGCGATTCCCGTAAGAGGCCATAGATCATGGCCACCTGTCTTTTCTGTAAAAGAGATGTCTTCTAACAGGAGACACACACATACTATCACCCTGCCAAGAACGGCCTGCCAACCTGTAGCGCAGAGCAGGCAGGTCTCGACAATTAACAGTGAATCATCACACGCTCCCCACACACACACACACACACACCGATTCCCACACCCTCGCACATCTCAGCACAGTTTGTCTTTTGATCCCTGATCACAGGTGTTTGTTACAACACATCACAAAAACGCAGACGGGGTGTTAGAGGAGAAGCAGAGGAATGTGTGGAATGAAGCTGGCAGTTCAGTCAGGTTGAAAGTGTTAACAGTATCTTAATCATTCTTTCATTTGCCAGCAGGCATGTGTGACTAAGCAGCAAAGAGTCGAGCAGCTCCTCAGCCTTTTGTCTTTCTGTCTTAGGAGTTGTTTTTGCCAGTTGAAACGTTCTCCCTTTAATTAGCCGTTAGAATAAACCTATCAAATGCTTATAATTTATGAGATGATAGCCATTCATGTAGGTAATTTTGCTTTTATGTGACAGTTTCTTTTAATATTCTACCTAGGCATTGTTACCTGTGCCAATACACACTGGAGAACAGTCAACTTTTATTTATGTGGCTCACCACATTCATTCATTAAACCTACAAAGAAACAAAAAGAAGCAATAAACATATTAAGAGATACTACGTCCAGCTACTATGGAAAATACTCTTGTTGTGAGTGAAGATTATTGGGGGTGTTTCTTAATAGAAATGATACAAAGAAGCTCCAATGATCCAATGACACTGGGTTCTGTGGGTTGTTCATGCTACTTGTGATTTAAGAAAAATAATATATAATTCAGGCCCTGCTAATAATGTATGTGTCGATTGTAATGTATCCATACTGCTCCTGGTTTGGCAGGAGAAAATCACTCTCTATACACACAGATACACATTTTAGAAACAAATTAGAATAAGTGTTTTTTTATTTAACAGTCTGCTTTTAAATACTATATTAAAAATAGACAGCACATTAAAATTTGGGTGTTTTTAAAAAAACATATAAAATAGCATTTAAATACCATGCTTAAGCAACAGTCATGAAAAATTTAGATCAAAGCCAAAGTCCACAATAAACAAATGTATCACTGTATCTCAAAAAAAGACCTAAACACACAGTCAACAAATCAATTAACACTACTGTGTAAAAACTAAGCATACTGTCATATTCTAGCAATTGAGTCTGAGCCCTTTTTGTTTCAAATACTACTACTAATATGTCAAACATAAATTATAACACCACTCCCCCTCCCCGAGAGGCACAACAGCATTTCCACAAGTCTTTGCCACCGACCTTATTTTCGTACAGCGAAACATTTTCCTTGGCGCGGTGCTTTGTAAATATTTGCTGTCTAAAACAAGAACATGCCTCTTGAGTTGCAGCGCATGTTACAGTATCCTTAGGGAAGGGCCATTCAGATCCTGCAAACACACCGACTATCACAGACAGTACCTGTTTCCGTGGCGAGATTTAATCGATCGTGTCATCCGTGCAGTTTACATTCACTCGAAATAGAAAATATTTAAAACCCCCAGAAGCAGCCTTCTGCAGTTGTTAGACGTTCTAAGTTTCAGATCACAGCAGTGCAGCAGCAAAGACAGACGCTTGCAGATCTGGATCAGTTTAGTGCTCGATACTTTAAGTATTTCAAGAATAATATTTAAGGTTATGTATAAACATTTTTAGGGTTACTGCAAATGGATGCTTTTCCGTCAGAAGTATTAAACTTTAGGACAGAGTCCAGCACCACCGAGTACTGCTGAGCCACAGTAAATTGCATGCAGTTTGATGGGGATATAATTTGCACATCGTGATTGAATCTAAAACATGGAACGAAAAGTAAAGCATAAATGTCAAGCCCCACTCACATGGCAGGAAACATAACTTCTTGGGTGGCACGGCATGTGATAAACAACCTTGATGGCGAAAATCTGAACTGTGATGATGCTGTAGTGTCAGATATCTTGCATGAATTCTGTCCGGGCTGCACAGATTTCAACTTTGCAGATGCCCGCCTCCCCCCCGATACAGCAGCAAAGATTCGTTGAAGTCGGCCCATCTCGCTGTCAGGTCAGAGGTTCACACACCTTATGAAAAACCACTGTGCACTTTTCCAGCACTGAAACTGCTGGTCTTCAAATCTGAAGATTTAACTCCCTCTAGATCAAATCCAGAAGACATCCAAATGAAAGGTTCTGACTTTGTTGGTATAAGAATTGTTTTTGGAACTTTGTGCAGTTCAGTAAAGCTCACTTGAAAAGCTATTCTTCAGATTTAAGTCGGCTTGATTGGAAGAATTTTTCTTTGGAAATTATGTTGACGAGAGAAGAGCCAAACACGGCAAAACCCATCCATGCTGGTATTTAGAGCTCATAAAAACACTGTTTTTATATATATATTTATATATTTTGCACATCCAGGCCTATGTATAAATGTATAAATGCAGTAAAAGGAAATACTTAACTATACCTCGTCGCTTGGGGGTGTGCTAACAGTTTGAAGCTTTATTCTGTAACATTCGTACATCTTGCTGTCAAAAAAAAAAAAAGAGAGAGATTTTATGTGCAGGTAATAATGTTAAAGGCTGAAATATAATGTGGAATATAATATTTCATTCATTACTGGTTCTCCACTGGTGGCCGTACACTAAGCTTGCTATACTTGTGTGCGGCGCTGAAGAGCTTGGCCATACTCTGAGCTCTGGCCAAGGTCTGCCCTGAGGACTGTGGTTGATGGCCCACCCTGCCAGACACTTTCCCTCTTCTACCACTCAGGACCACACACCTTCAAATGGACTCGCTTTGTTATCACAAGCTCTCGCAGACACATAATAGAGGTATCGTGTGTTGGAGCGCGCTTAAAAAACGACACATGCTATTAACGCAGCATGTGTGTAATGCAGTGCTGCTGTTTCCTCGCTCTGTCACAGCAGATGACCTTCGCAGATGACTGTTTTCAAAGAAAATTATTTCTGAAAAATATTGGGGGATAATGATACCTAAGATGGGTTAAAATGAACTCCGGCAGAGGCTGTCTGTATTCGTCTCGTCGCGAAAGCTAAAAATGACATGACATAATTAGCCCGGAGCGAGACATTACACACACGGACGGATTACAGTATTAGAAAAGGAAGGGCTTATTAATAGCCCCGTTGGCTCGTGTTGTGTACTCTCTCTGGCGAGGCATCAGAACGGCCCGGTCGGGCAAACAGGCAGGTACAGTGATTCACTTTAACAGGCGACATCTGTAAAACGCCAAGGTAGTTTACACTGCGGCCGGGCCCGAATTAACGTGCTTTCGTTGGAAACAAACACCACTTGCAATCAGCTTCTGTTGGCCACCGCGCCACTGGTGTGAACGTAAATATCCCCTTACGCTGCTGCTGAGGCAGAACGGTGACCTGAAGCAACAGAATAAAGCGAGCGCCACGCAGAGGTTCGCTTCAACGGGATCCAAAACTCATGGAAGTGAAAAACTTAATCTATCACGCCGTTTCGCCAAGAGGATGTTGATGTTCTTTGTGAATTGTTTGGTGAAGTACGGTATGGTATAATCTTAATGAAAAGTAGATATTTTTCTTTTGGAGTCCAGCAGCGGTATCTACATCTTCCAGTGACTTAAGGACCTTTCTTGTGGTGTCTGGACAGCTGTTTTTGGAGTCACAGCTATGAGGGAAAATAAAGTCGGCCTTTAAGTAATAAGGGGAAATGTTTAATATCGAATGGCGCGCGCACAACCTAAACACACATTAAAAATAGCTCTTGGAGTTGTGATTACATAAAATTGCAAAAAAGGAGAAAGTCAGATCACTGGTGGAGGCTGCGATGAGGAGGCTGTGGCTGACCACCGAGAGACTGAGCCATTTCTTCTTTTTTTCCCCCCTTCTTCCATTCCTCATTTTAATCAAGGGCCAGTCCAGGATAAACAGTGCCTACCTACACTGCAGTTCAAACAGCGAGGCCCGCTGAGACCCAAGCGATGATTTCTAAATGTTCACTGACAAGTTGGTTTAATTTGTGTGCTAAGTAGATGGAGTTTGACTTATATATATCTTCCTTACTCTGGCGTGCATACCAGTCTCCCGCTATTTCTCCACCTCTGTGAAACTTCATGGTGCTTTTTGTATGAAAAGCATACTGGTCCTCCACAAATCCTGCTGTCTGGTTTATATATGCCATGCTGTGTTAAAGGTGAGGACAGGTCCTGCCGCTGAGGCCTGAAATGAAACTTACAGCAGCTTCTTCAGACCAAAGACCATGACTGAGGACCTTGGTGATGCTCCTGCTTCTACTCTATTCAGATTTTCTCTACAGTCCGCGTCCACTGAGACCGGTACAGTATAGTTGCGGCCGCCTGAAACCCTGTCATTGTGTGGTCAG